GAGCCTTTAGGCCTTGAGGCAGCTGGGGGGCAGACTGGCTGCTCTTCCAGGGGGCAAGTGGGAGGGCTGACGACTGCCCCTCAGCAGCAGCCTGGAAGGATTTGGAGGTTGCCGGGGATAGGACAGTACCGAGCCCTATGGGCTCCGACACCCGGCACCTGCCCCGATCTCCAAGGTTGCCCCTTACCCGGCATGAGCTTCTCCCGCCCTGTTCCACACCAGCGCAGAGCATGTTCTCTGTGATCAAGTCTTTGTAACTCTCCTTGCAGCTGTCCTGGCTGACGCTGTAGATATCTGCGCACTGTAAGATGGGGGTGAACTTCACTGGGCAATGACAGGAAAACACGCTTGTGAGGAGGGTGCAAGAGACTTAACCTTTGTGTAAGGCCCTCAACTGGCATAGATCCACTGACCCCAATAGAACGATGACTGCTTGAGCCCAGCTCAGGATCTGGTCCCACTGACCCCACTAAACTTACGGCCCATTGACCCCAGCTGGGATCTGGCCCATTGACTGCAATGGAGCTACAGCCCAGCTGGGATCTCTCACACTGACTCCAGTGCAGCTACAGCCCATTGACCCAGCTGGGATCTGCCCATATTCCTTTTCTAAAACAAGAGATATTTGACTAACAGAAAAGCCAGAAAAAACCCTCATTTCAGGTCAAACGAGTCGTTATTTTGGGACACCAAATGTTGCGATATTTTAGTTTTCCTTGTGACCAGAAGCATGTCTGTGACATTTTAAAACCAACGAGTAGTCCTGTGATACATTAGAGACATCCAAAAATGCACAGTGTCATGACTTTCAGTAGGTTAAACCCAAAGAAGTGGGTTTTTAAGTTACAGGCTAACATGAGACTTCATAATGTTTTAAAATTGCTCTGAAATCAAAAGGAAATGAAATTTCCAAAGAAAATTTATCAAATAGAAAAAGATACCATTGTGTCTCCGTGTTTTCAAAAGGAAAAGTTTTCGTGTGTGCGTGTGTGTGTGTGTGTGTGTGTGTGTGTGTGTGTGTGTTTTAGAAACAAATGAGATATACAGTCATCCTGGAGTACAAGATATATCGGAAAGATAGAACAGGTTGTGCTGGTGGAAGAGTGGCACTATATATGAAAGAAAATGTAGAATCAAATGAAGAAAGAATCTTAAAGGACCTTCGATGTTCCATAGAAAGTCTATGGGTAGTAATTCCATGCTCCAATACTAAAAATATAAAGGAAGAGATATATTTTAGACCATCTGAGCAGGACAGTGATAGTGATGAAATGCTGAGGGAGATTACAGAGGCTAGCAAAATAAAAAACTCGGTTACAGTGAGGGATTTAATCTATCCTTATATTGAGTGGATCCACATCACCTCAGGATGGGATGCAGAGGTAAAATTTGCAGATGATACCAAACCACTCAAGATAGTGAAGATCAAAGCAGACTGTGAAGAGCTTCAAAAAGATCGCAGCAAACTAAGTGATTAGGCAATAAAATAGCAAATGAAATTAAATGTTGATCAATGTATAGTTATGCATATTAGAAAAAATAATCCCAACTACACGTACAATATGATGGGGACTAATTTAGCTACAACTACTCAAGAGAGAGATCTTGGAATCCTTGTGGATAGTTCTTTGAAAATATCCACTCAGTGTGCAGCGGCAGTCAAAAAAGGAAACAGAATGTTAGTAATAATGAAAAAGGGGATAGAGAGTAAGAGAGAAAATATCTTATTGCCTTTGTATAAAACCATAGTACGCCCACATCTTGAATACTGCGTACAGATGTGGTTGCCTCATCTCATTTCTTGACTCAGTGCACAGTCAACCTGCGGAACTCCTTGCCATAGGATGCGGTGAAGGCTAGAACTTTCACAGGGTTCAAAAAAGAGCTAGATAGATTCGTGGAGGATAGGTCCATCAATGGCTATTAGCTGGGTAGCCAAACCCTGGCGAGAGCTACTCGCCAGCCCTGCGCTGCGCATGCGCAAGACTGGCATTGTGCACGCGCAAAGCGCTGGTGAATGGGGCTCACGGCGCGACCACCTGAAATCTACTTGCCATGGACGTGTAGATTCAGCGATTTGTCGAGCCCTGGCTATTAGCCAGCATGGGTAGGAATGGTGTCCCTGGCCTCTGTTTCTCTGGAGGTGGGTGACAGGGGAGGGATCATGTGAGGATTAGGCTATTAGCCAGAATGGGCAGGAATGGTATCCCTGGCCTCTGTTTCTCTGGAGGTAGGGGACAGGGGAGAGATCATGTGGGGATTACCTGGTGTGACCCCTCCCTCTGGAGCATCTGGCATTGGCCATTGTCAGCAGACAGTACACTGGGCTAGATGGACCTTTGGTCTGACCCTGTCTGGCCGTTCTTATGTTCTTATATTCTTGTGAGATCTCCCTGGATGTTGGTGTTGTCGAAGCTGCATTTTGCAGCAACAATTGTTTCGAGTTGAAAAATTTCCGCTGTGAGAAGCCAAAGACTGTTGACAACCCGTTAGCAAGGTCTCCCTAACGATCATCAACCCCCTTCCCGACGCTGAGCCCAACCTCAATCCTTCCCTTCCACTTCCCAAGGCTCCTTACGTTGCGGGGTCGTGACGGTGCCCCATCCTGACACAGTGCACTTTGTTCCAGGCGCAGGACACTGGGTCGCCAGGCCGATTGTTTTCACGTTGTTGTTGAGTTCAGCCGGTTCATCCAACTCCAGGAGCATGAAGTCGTTGTCCTTAAGGCCGCTATTATACCCCGGGTGCACGATGACATTTTTAACTCCTCGAATCTGTTCTGTGCCTTCGTACGTCTGCAGGTCATAATCCCCCAGAAGCACCTGCACTGACCTGCATAGAGACAGGGCAAAGGAGGAGATCAAGGGGAGGCGAGTCAAAGCTCGTGGCACGCAAGCAAGAAGTGTTGGGCCACGAGTGGATTTTCTGGGACAGAGGTGACCTCTGATACCTGGCCAACTTGGGCCCTGTATGGCTCAGTTTGACTCCATATGCATCTAGTTTTTTCTTGGCACACACTTCGCCTTCACCGAACTGAGCAGAGTCATGGGGAAGGGTGGGTATGGGGCAGGCCACAGACACAAAAATACAAGTATTGTTTACTTTATACGCAAGTTTCACCCTATTCAGATGCATGTATCCTCCATTTTCATAGTATCGTGCGCTGTAGAGTTGGTCCAGTTATTTTCAGGTCCAATGGCTGGATATAAGCCACTTTGCTCTCCTGCCACATGTATGCAGTATACTTTGTTCGTTGTTCCCCGGTCTGAATAATCCCCTTCCTTAAATTCTTAGCCACTGTTGCTGACACTGTTCATTTTTGTGCCCGGTTTTACCCAGCTGAAATAACCTCGAAATAAGCTACGTAATTTGTGTAGCGCAAATTACATAGTTTTTTTTGAGATAAGGGTGCTGTATAGCTTCATCCTGAGTTAGGCTAAACAAGTTAATAATAATGATGATGATTTACAATATTCAATTAAATTAAAACTTACTAATTATATGTTTAAAAATTTCAGTATCTTATATCAACATTTTCAAACATGCTACGGTTTGCATTTGAGCCTTTTTCTTTCCGAGTGCCCTCTTTATTCATTTTAAGAACATTTTCGCAACAACCAAAACCAACTTTTCTCCCCTGACATTCGGAATCACTGGAAAATTTGAAACTCTTTGACCCAGATTTACTCTTTGCCATTCTCAGTGCTACCGCTTGGAGGTATAACTTGGGATGATGAGTGACCACAGTTCATCGGACGAGGCAAAAGTAAAAGAAACCATGGATAGGGGGTCCCATGAATAGGGGGAGCTGAGGGCCAGTGTGAAAAGCCAGGGCATGTTTTTCAGGTGGGGGGTAGGGTTTCATACAGAAGGCAGACCTTCTATAGTGGGACGATTCCAATATTCCTGGGACTCCTGGTCACCCCAGCCAAAAGCCAGGGGCAAAGGATCCACGATCAGCGGTGTATTCATGAAAGATGAGACCGTATGCCACCAAGCTCCCCACCTCCACCCATGCAGCTTCTTCCACGAGCCTGGTGTCCACCCCATGCAGGTGGTGGCCCGTGGCTCGGGGCTTCCTTTCTCCTCCCCCCACATGGTGTTCGGGGTCTTCTTGCACATCGCAGCAGAGTTGCTGAGGTTGGAAGCTCCTCTCTGGCCCAGTCTGGCAGGAAGGAGCCCTCACTAGCTGCTGGCTGAGAGAAGCAGGGGGACGCAGAGTGAGGGGGTGGGCAAGGAGAAGCCATACCATGGAAAGGAGAGAACAGCCCAGATACGAACCCGCAGTGACGGGCAGGCCCTTTCTCAGGCAAACCAGCCCACACGGTTGAGTACGTCCTGAATTTGTGGGGCATTTTGTCATTACCAAAGCAGCCGTTTTCATCCAAAATCAGGAATTCCGTCCCTAGGCTTACATGAACTACCCGGCTGCATAAGGCTCCTGAAAAACCGGCCCTTTCACAAGGTGCTGGCCAGACGGGAAGTAAACTGCCTTGTGGGGCGTTACCCCAGGAGCAAACGCATTTGAAATAGAGCTACATGGACAATGTCCGTAACCCCAGATACCAAAAGGTACCTGCATGTACACATAGTTAGAAAAGTGTGTGTTTTCCATAGACGCCTCACATGGCACATTGCGTCCAAGCAACAAATAGTCCTGTGGCACCTTAAGGACTCACACACTAATTTGGGCATGAGCCTTTCCAAGGCTTCTGCCCAAGTAAATTTGTGAATCCTTAAGATGCCACGGGATTCCTCGTTGTTTTTGCTGACACAGACTTCTAACGCTCCTCCTCTGAAAATTGTCGGTGAGCCCAAGCCTAGAGCCCCGAATGGAGAGGGGATGTGGGCAGCGCCGGGGAATACTTGATGAAAGTGTAAGCCCAGGAATGAATATGTGGTGTCTGGCTGAAAGGGAACTGTTCTCAAAATGCAGGTGACCTTTCTAGTGCTCTGTAAACACAGCAGGTCCTGAAGATAGCTCTGTCCTTCACACTCTCCCCTCCCCTCTGGCCTGAATTCTATGAGGGTACCTCTAGACTGCAGCGCTATTTTGGGATACTGGAAGAATCCCGAAATAGCAATTCCATGTCTTTCAATGCACCAGTTATTTCAAAATCTATTACAAAATAGTGGTTACGCTATTCCGCTCCACGAGGGTTAGTGCCGTATTTTGAAAACCAGGAGGATGCTCCAAGGACTGACACTTGCAAGTGCCGGGGGCAAGTTTCCTGCTGTCCATACCACTGGGGAGAGCCATATTGGCCTGCCACCTCCAGGCTGGGCAGCCACATCTAAGGGAGAAGAGAAGAGCCACAAAATGGTGCGAGGGCTGAAAAAACGGGAGGGTGAGGCTGGGATTTGGGGGGGAGAGGGCAGAGGGAGACGTGGGCACAGACGGAGGACCCCAAGGAGAATATAAGAACTGGGGACATGGCCTCACCATCCCTCCCCGCACCTCTGCGTCGACTTACCTGATGTCTTTGCTGCAGTGCGCGGCAGTCATCACCCACTTCCTGTCTACCAGGCTCCCGCCACAGTAGATGCGGTCGTCCATCACGAGAGCCACTTGGAAGGGCCGAGAGCCGAGGTCGCAATCATTCCCCCCAATAAGCGAGTTTCCCCTTCTCTGTAAGGCTGCTGTGGAGAGAGGTTCACGTCAACCAGCAACCAGCCAGCGCCGGGGCGAGCATCAGCCACTCAGGGCCGATGTATCCATCAGGCACAGTCGGCACAGTGCCTAGGGCCCACAATACTTTTAGGGGCCAACGAAAATGTTTTAATTTCTTTTAAAATCAGAAGCAAAAAAATGAAACTTTTAGGGCCCACGAAAATCTATTAAATTGTTCCTAAAACAGAAAAGGGGCCTAACAAAGGCAAAAGTGTCTAGGGCCCACGAAGGTCAAAATGCGGCCCTGCAGCCAGGGCTGTATGAATTGACTGGTGGCAGAAGGGCCGTGAGGTGCTATGAGCTGCCACTCTTGTACAGCCGTGCAGAGCACGAGGAAACCTGAGGCCGTCCCAGGTAAGGTGTCTCCAGCAGAGACAGGCCACATAGGCCACACGGGGTGGAGGATGGTCCAACACCCCCCATTTCTGTGTAGCTTGCCATGGGGCAGGGAGAGCGGCTCTGTCTTTCTCCTGATGTGCCTGCCCCTGGCCCGCTCGGCCCTGCAGCAGAAAGGACACGGGGCAGCCGCCCACCATGCAGCCCCATCAGCCAGGCCGCGTGGTTGCTGTCGGAGCTGGAACCAAGGCCCTGGTGAGGCTCCCCCAGCAGGGACAGCCTCACCGCAGCCCGGCTATCGCCGGGGGAGGGAGAAGACTTGTTAGCGGGCACAAAGGCGCACACCTTTTAGGGAACGGAGCTCCCCAGTGGGCGCACCTTATAGGGAAGTGCCTCAGTGGGCAGGGCTCATTAGCAGCTGGGGGTGTGGCCTGGCAGGGGTTCATGGCCCCCCACCGCTCTGTGGACCAGTGAGTCAGGAAAGCGCCTTTTGCTGTTCCCAAGAAAAAGCCCCCAGAGCTGATCAAATGATCGGTCTCCGGAAATCACCGTTAGCACAGGCTCAGCACTGCCCAGAGTCGGTCACCGAGTGGCGTTTCTCGGCTTTGCCGCAATACAAATAATTGAAACTTTTTTCTTCCTATTGGAAAATGCCATTTGGCTGAAGCTGAAAGTGTTTGGAAATGAGCTGGTAGCCAGGTGACTTCTTTTATCAGATCCAAACAAAACAACCTCTGTGGGCCGGGCTCCACAATCAAACTACAGCTCCCAGGATGCCTCATAGCCCGGGACTCCCATGATGCACTGGCTTCTCCTTATCTAGTGGTGCCTGGTGAGTCATGGGATGTGTATCTGACATTACTGGAAAAATGCCATTTTTTTTTTTTTTAAATAGTTCTATACGCATGTTTTTTTTCTTAAAAGAATTAGCGTCCTATTCGAAATGGAGCTCTGCTCTGTATGTTTTGACAAAAGCTTTGCATGTAAAGACATTGAAATCTCAGAGAAGCAGATTTTCCTCCCCAAAAAACATTCCAGTTTGTGGGAAATTTCAAAATTCTTCCCTTCTGTCCTGACGCAGGACGAAAACCCCTTGTGAAATCAGGGCTCCCGACCGGTCCCACAAGCAATGGAGGCTCATCAGCGATGAGGCCTGTCTATGTTAATCCCCTTTCGCAACCAGTGGAACCGATTTAGGCACTTCCTGGAACTCTGCGCTTCCTGAAAAGCAACTTCTCTTGTGCCATGTCTGCGACACTCCTGTAGGGCCTGTGGCGAAACTGCAGAACCCTCCCACACCTCCCAACGGTGGCTTCTCGCCAGGCTCTTCCCTACCTGCTGCAGCCCCGGCGACCAGCACGGCGAGGATCAGGAGCTGCATGGCGGCCGTGGCGATGGGAACAGTCGGCGACGTCGCTGGTTTACTGCAGGGAGAGAGCGACAGTGAATCGTTGGCCGGGGGTGTCTTCAGGAGGATGGATGACCCTCAGGTAAGGGGCTCGCTAAAGAGTCAGGTGTGAACAAGCAGTTTCCCTGCCCCGCAGCTACCCTGCCTGTACCGTAGGGCGATAGCAGAGCCCCTCATGGATTTACACACTGGGAAAACAGGTTCAGGGGCCTGTGTCCCCCAACTCGGTTCCATCGACCACAAGGCTTCCCCAGGGGCACGTTCCATGGAAACTTCTGATCTGTTGTGGGGGGAGGGATGAAATCTTAAGCCAGCTGGCAAAGATCTCCATGAGCTGGCCTGAGCCCACCCCTCTCCTCCTAGTTCCCCTTCTCATGCGTTGCCGCAGTAACAGAGCCCCCACTTCCCCCAGCAGCTCTACAACACAGAAATGAATAGCTCTCCGGTGCCGGGTGGCTTCCATCACGGCAGCACCCCAGATCAGGTGCTGTGCTTACCCCACAACTGTTTGTGAGGCTGGGCAGGGCTACGGTCCCCATTGCACTGCTGGGAAACTGAGGCACAGAACAGCTATGTGACTTGGCCGATGTCCGACAGGGAGGCAGCAGCAGCCCAGCGATTAGAGCTACGTGACTTGGCCGATGTCCAACAGGGAGGCAGCAGCAGCCGAGCGATTAGAAGCCATGTCTCCCTAGTACCGGCAGAGCCGTTAAGCTGCCAAACCGTCCGTCCTTCCTGAGCAACCCATCCCACCACCCCCAATAACAGCAGTGCCCCCATCCTCTGAAAATGGGGTGATGCTCTGGCAGCCCATAATCACCCCCATAGCAGTGAGATGCCTCCCCATGATCTTCTCAGTTACAGCAGGATGTCCTGGACTAGCTCCCTGCACCACTCTCCAAGCCACAGAAACCTCCTGTGCACCCGTCTGGCATGCCCCCGCCCCCGCCAGATATGCTGACGACGGGGCTGGAGGGACCCCGCGTTACCTGTAGCTCCTGGCAGGGCCCTCAGGACCGGCAAGTCCCCAGCAGTTGTGACTTGGAAAAAGCTGAGAAGCCTCCGGAAGGGTCCATTTATATGCCGGGAAAAAGAACATCCCTGTGAGTCACTGTCATCAGTGGATCTAAACAAATAACCAATGTTTTATCCACTGGGTGCCTCCCTCCACCCCCAGCCACCTGGCTGCCATCGGTTGGTGCCGGGAAGTGGGGAAGGGAACCAGATTTTCCTCCCATCTCTGTTGGGAACCCGGCAGGAAGCACTCGGAACGGCACCTTCTCGGAACAGCAGTGGCCAAACCTGCCTCCCTGCACCTCCCGCCCTGCTCCAGAATGTGTTTTTCCTCCTCCCTTCCTGGTGTCCTGGCCTGGCCCAACTGTGGTAACCAGGCCCTGCTTCCTGATAAATGGCCTGTTGTCTGATGGCCAAGCTGACACCCCGTCTGATGGGACAAAAAGGAAAATTTGCATCGAACAGACTCCTGATGACCAAGGTTACACCCCGTCTGAAGGAGAAGGGCCCTGCGATGTTTTGTCTTTGGCCAGGGGCTCCCATGAATTCGGGATAACCCCATTGTTGGGCGGCAAACCTGTACGCATGGAAGTGGACACCGCTGCAGCAGTTTCGTTGGTGTCAGACACGAGGTATAAGGAAAAGCTAAAGCACCTTCCACTTAAGGCAACAAAGATCGTTCTGAAGAGCATGCGGGAGAAGCGGTTCCCCTCCAGAGCACTACTGATGCTAAGGTGGAGCTCAATGGACAGACGGCTGAATTGCCACTGTTTGTGGTGAAAGGCCATTACCCAGTCTTCATGGGGAGATGATGGCGTAGGACGATCCCGCTGACGTGCACCGGATGACTAAAGCAGAAGCGGGTCTGACCAATGTATTAAAGAAATATGCTGCTGGTTTTGGAGAGGATCGGGGAAGTACGAGGGGAATCATTGTGAAGCTGAACATTAAACCCAGCAGCCAGCCAAAATATCTGAAGGCCAGAATTGTGCCATATGCCATCAGGCCAAAAGATGAAGCTGACCTGGAGCACCTACACAGAAATGGAGTCCGAATACCAGATTTGCAGAGATTTTAAGGTCACTTTTAAGGTCAGTGTTGTGTGCAGAGTAATACCCCCTTCCCTGCGTCGATGACGTCTTTGCAGGCCAGGCTGGGCAACAAAAGTTCAGCAAACCGCTAGTTCGAACTTAATTATAATTAGCGGAGCACTTAATTCAAACTAGGTAAACCTCATTCCATGAGGACTAACGCCCAGTTCGAATTAAGCAGTTCGAATTAAGGGCTGTGTACCCACTTAATTAGAACTAGTGGGAGGCTAGCCCTCCCCAGCTTTCCTTGGTGGCCACTGTGGGCACCACCAGGGAAACTCTTCTGCCCCCCTCCCGGCCCCGGAGCCCTTAAAGGGGCATGTCTGGCTACGGTTCCTGTGCCAGGTGCAAGCCTGCCAGCACCCAGCCAGCAGAACCTGCAACTTGCACACCTGGCGC